ACAACGAAAAACTCCGGTAGGCCAACACGGGCTGGGGCAGGTACGATCCGGACCGGCCAGAATTCAACTGGCAGCGAGAAGTGGCGTAAGTAAAAGACTACCCACTTTCTCTGGAAAGCCGGAAGAATGACCGTTGTTCTACGGAATGTACCAAGCACCGAATGAAGCCTGTGGTTACTCGGACATTGAAAACCTGGTGCGGCTGCAAGAATGCCAGAAGGGTCCGGCTCTGGAGATGGTGCGTGGACAACTTCTTCTGTCGAAATCGGTTCCGAAGGCTATTGGAAAACTTCGCCAGTTATACGGTAGCCCGAAATAGCTACTGCAAGAGCCATTTGGAGAAGGTGAATAGGCTGGAACCACTGAAAGCGGGTAAGCTGGCCAGTTTCATTCCATTCGGCACGGCAGTCGAGCAGCTGTGCGAACAATTGGAGGCGGCGGAACTCAAACAGCACCTGATAAATCCGCTACCGATCCAAGATCTGGTTGGAAAGTTTCCAGATAACGACAAGTGCGACTGGGTGCGCTGCAAGCGAGGAAAAAAGAAGGAAACCCTACGAACCTTCACCGATTTCATCTCCGAAAAGTGAATGTCAGCATGGACTACAAGTCAACCGGAAAGTTTAGCAGCGACAACCGTTCGGGGAATGCCCAAAGCAAAGCGAAGGAGAAGGATGCGATGTTCAACCACAGCGAAGCTGAGAATCGTCAGTCCGGCGTTGGAGAACGAAGGAATCTAAAGCCGTGCAGGGCGTGTCAGCGTACAGACCATCAGTTGCGGTATTGCCAGGATTTCAAGAACCTGTCGTACGCGGACCGGATGAAGGTTGTGGATCGCTGGAAGCTGTGCCACGTGTGTCTGAACGAACACGGTTCGGTGCATTGTAAGTTCAAGCTGCGATGCAACGTTGGAGAATGCAGACAACCTCACAATTATCTTTTGCATCCGATCGACGGTGCAATTGGTACGACAGCGCACATTCGCACAAACAACGTCACTTTGCTCCGAATGATACCGATTAGTCTCCACTGCGGTGAAAAATCTTTCACCGTGTTGGCTTTCCTGTATGAAGGTGCATCGGTGACCCTGATGGAAAGGAACTTGGCGAACCGCTTGGGAGCAGTCGGAGTTCATGATAAACTCTCCATAAAGTGGACGGCCGACATTACTAGAGTGGAGAAGGAATCAAACCGGATGAATTTGTGGGTCTCGGCTGTTGATGCGGATGAAAAACTTCTTCTGAAGATGGTCCGCACTGTCGAAAAGCTTTGGCCGCAAAGGAGTTTTTGTGGCAGTATAAGCATATGCGAGGATTGCCCATCTCCTCGTATGACGGACGGCCGGAAATAGTCATCGGGTTGAACAACATCCACTCGTTCGCCCCGATTGAAGCAAAGCTCGGTGCAATGGTTGATCCGATAGCCGTGCGGTACAAGCTCGGATGGACGGTCTACGGACCGAAGCAAGCGAATGCTGTCGAAGTGAGCAGCGAATATCTTGGAATCCACCAGGAAGTGACAAACGAAGACCTTCATAAGCTGCTGAAGGCACACTACGCGCTGGAAGAATCGGTCGTTGGCGTACCGCGGGAGTCTGCTGAGGACGAGAGAGCTCGCGAGACGAATCGGTGACCGCTTCGAGACCGGGCTACTGTGGAAGATGGACGATCCAAGGTTCCCGGATAGCTACCCGATGGCGTTGCGAAGGCTGAAGCAGTTGGAGAAGAAGCTAGAGAAGAATCCGGAACTTCACGTGAAGGTTTGTAAGCAGATCGATGAGTATCAGGAGAAGGAGTATGCGCATCTTGCTACTCCGGAGACGTTCGTCGGAACGGTACTAAACTGGGATGCTGCGGCAACGTTGCAATTCACAGCTGTTAATTTTTAACATGCCTGACATGCTTGTGCCGCTAGTGACTGTGGTCGTTGGGTTTCGGGAATACAGAATTGTTGTAGGTGTATCACCAGATGAAGATCATCGCTCGGGATCGGCAAGTACAACGTTTCCTCTTCCGGAAAGATTCCAAGAGACCTCCACGCGTGTTCATCATGGACGTTGCAACGTTTGAATCGAGGAGCTCTCCATGTTCGGCCCAATACGTGAGGAACCTCAACGCTCAAGAGTACGCTGGGCAATATCCGGAGGCAGCAGCGGAGATTATCAACCGTCATTACGTCGACGACTACTTTGATAGCGATTTGATACGAGGCGATCGAGCGAACGGAGCAAGTCAGGTTCATTCACCAGAAGGGAGGCTTCGAGATTAGGAACTGGGTTACGAAGTCGCCGGAAGTGCTCCAGAGTTTCGGTGAGCAGAAACCGGTTTCAGCCGTGCCCATCACCGAAGACAAAGTAACGTCATACGAACGCGTGCTGGGTATGATCTGGGATCCGGATCGTGATGAATTATCTTTCTCTACCCAACATCGCCAAGAGCATCTTCCGTACCTATGCGGAGACAAACGGCCAACGAAACGTGCGGTGTTAAGCTGCGTCATGGGTTTCTTCGATCCGCTTGGTTTACTTTCTCCGTTCACGATCCACGGAAAGATCATCGTGCAGCACTGTGGCTGCGATTGGGACGACTTTATGCTACTCTCATCAATCTTACGAAGCAGTGCTGTGATATAAACGGTTCAACTCCCCTAATAAGCGAGATATGATTCATCGAACCACAACACCAGGCACATAAGAGCAACCGGTATCGGAGTGAGATTTTTTGACGTAGGACTACGTCTGTGATTTCTATATGGGGGTACACTTTGTGAAAACCGAAAATGGAACATGTAACCAAATTATGAAAGATTTTGAACGCTAATAACTCAGCTTGATCTGGACCAATTTCAATAATTTTATCACCAATCGATCACATATATTTCTACGCATCTAAATTTAAAATGTCACTGTTGCTTTGATAATTAAATTATCACTGATTGCCTGTGAAAAGCGATTTCCCTAACACAGATTTCAAAGTTGAATTCCATCGGGTCTCACCAAACGGTGTCTATTCAATCACAGCGTGATAAGTGGTGGTGTTCTCCAGTACGCAACGAAAAGCATATTTCACTACCCAAACACATACATATTCTTCACTTCTTGTATCGTTTCATAATTTTTATATCCGGTATTTTTATATTATTTTGCTTTATTTCAAAACCGCCATACACTACTAATTATATTTATTTCGATTTCAGAGGCTGCATTACAAGCTTTCATTTACTAACATTTTCCAATCAAAATCTGCAGCAGACAGTGCAAACGGATATTGGAAAATGTTTACATTATTTTCTTGGATAAAATGGAAAACAGTATTTGTTAGATTCGGTAAATATCACTTAACCGGCGCTGTTGGTGTAGTGGTAAGCGTGACTGCTTTCTCGCCCCAATGGGTCTGGGTTGAATCCCAGCCGAGGTCGGTGGGATTTTTCTGAGGCATAAAAATCTCTGGTCTCGTCTTCCGGAAGGGAAGTAAAGCCGTTGGTCCCCGGTCCATGTGTGTTTGAATGGGTGCGATACCCTACGCAGGTGTGGAAGCTGCCTTCGTGCACATTCGATTGCCGTCAATGGATTACAATCAATGTCCGTCGGTGATTGGCACTAGATTGCGGAATAGAGACCGAGGTTAAATAAAAAAAAGAAAATACCACTTCAAAATCACATGAACATTACGTGAAAATCTTATCCAATTTAGTGGAAATCACGGAACGTAAACGTAAGATAAACAGTATGTTCCAGTAAATATTTCAAAATCACGTAAACATTAAGTGATAATCATTTCCAGCTGGAAATCACGTTATATTTACTGCTCCCGATGACCACTAAATATGAATATTTTTGGCTACATGGTATTAACGTAAATGTTACGTGAAAAGTATTATGGACAAAAGCTACCTATGTTTTCACGTAGATTGAACGTGTATATTTTTTGCAGTGTAGGTGATTAACTAAATAATTTGGCTTTGATTTACGGTTTAGCGACTTTGCAGTCAATTCAATTGTTTATAAGATAGTTTGTTCAGTATGTTCAAAATAATATTCAGTAGCGAATCTGAACGAGGTCGTCGACTCTTGCACACGTTGACTTTTTTTTTTAGTTGAGGATATTAGGTCGTTTAACGTCCACGACGATTGCGATTGGTTCAGCAGGATCACGTTTCAACGACTTGGATTGTTGCCCATTATGTATGAAATTAGTAATTGGTATAAAGATAAAGAGAAGGATTAGTAATGTTCATTTAATTCCACTATCTTAATTGCTTATCCTTGACAGATACACGTATTTCGTTTACAATGTTCAGATTTCTTCAGTGTCTTAACGTATTAATGCTAGACGTACAACTGAAGAAGTGTGCACATTGTAACAGAAAAACGCGTATCTGTCAAGGATAAACATTTAAGGTAGTGGAATTAAATGGAAACGACCAATCTTTCTCTCTTGCTTAATACAGGTACTCCACTATAGACGCCCACATTCATCAGAAATAAGTGGTGTTAACTCAAAATTAATGAAAACGATGGGACTGATTATTGAAGGTGTTGTAACCGTAAAACGATGCTCAAATTATTCGTACAATTAGATTACTTAAAATCTTTTGTGTAGCATTCTAGAACATCGATTCCCAACGTTCCCCCTTCCGTGCGGTATGGCTCGCTCAACATCGTTTCTTTTCATGTACTTTTCGCTTAGTGGGTGTTCGCGGTCCCCAGGTTGAGAATCGATGTTCTAGAGTACTGCACAATTAATTCAATAGAGTAATAAAAAAAAATCAAATTAACCAATAGCCCACAAACAACAAATCACTTCTCAAAAAATATTCTCGTAAACCCATTAAGTCAACCACGTTGGCAAGCCCTCTTCACTGTCGATGTTATGATGCCACTAACGCGTACGATCCAAGAGGCTGCTGATGACGAAAGCAGAGACCAACAAGAAGGCAAATAGCACTTAAAGCAAACTTTTAACGTTTTTTTTTCCTTCTCTATTTTCTTTCCACACTAGGGTAAATCGCTGCCGCCAGCGCCACCGTCGTGATCAGTCGCGAGTGTGCATTCAAGTTAGCCGGACGTGACTGTCCAGAAGTAGCAGCCAGCAACAGCAGCAGATCATCTATTCTTCGCGTTCCAGCAGTGTGCGAAGAATCATTGTCCACGCAGTGGGTGCAAAATTTCTCGCTAGTGTGGTAGCATCAGTGCCAGAACATATCTATATCTTATTCTGAAACCGGAAACTGATGAAGTCAGAAGTTTACCCCCAGTGTTAGTTCTAGGCAAAAAGTATCAGTGTACCTACATAACTGTGTTCCTTGTATTTTCCGACTGGAAAGAATTTAGTTTTTTTTTGCATTACTTGCTAGCTATACGCACTACCTAGCAGCATATATTGGTGCATCTAGAACAAGTTGTGTTTATTTTTATCACAAGTCGTCAACCCGGAGCGGTGCGCTCGGGAAACAGGTCTCAGTTAATAAAAGTATCATCGTAATCGACGGTGATCGAGCATAGAAATGGTTATCTCGAAGATATGCTGCATCGGTGCTGGATACGTGGGGGGTCCCACGTGTAGCGTGATGGCACTCAACTGTCCCGATATCAAGATCACTGTCGTTGATCGCAGTGCGGAACGGATCGCGCAGTGGAATTCCGACAAACTGCCAATATATGAGGTAAGTCCAATTGTGATTCTGTTTAATTTGTAATTAGGAACTCATTAAATGCGATAGTGAGTAACCTAGGATTTCCCGTATCTTACTGATAACAAGTGTACGACCATCAATCGTAGATAGATGGTGGATTGTTTCTTGCCACGTATCATTCAGAAGGTCTTTCTCCGAATCTGATTATGACGCGTCTGTCGCAACTGGAGAGCGAAATTTAATCTTTTGATTTCATCCTCTGCACATATCTTCCATCTGGCTTGGGGTGGGACGCTCTTCTTAGAAGGAATGCACTAGAGAAAATCACTGTTATTACTGTCGGCGCAAAACAACAACAGCACCATTCGGGTAACACATGTGCTCTTATCAGCAATAATGGGAAGTTGTGCCGGTCGGGGGAATGCTTTCAGCTTCTTGGGATTAGGCCGCATGTTTGGTTTATCGTAAAATATGTCGGTGTTCTTGCAAAAGTCTCCCTAGTAGTGAAAAGAATAGAAACAGTTTTGTTTTCGTGGTTACTTTATTTGGCTTAGTTCAGACTTAGAAAGCACGACCGCAGATTGTGGGTGGCCCTTAAGTTCCACTGCGACGCGTACCCTGGTCCATTCGAGCAATAGTTTTCCTTTCCCGAAAATGTTTAAGAACGTTGCACACGGTAGATTTAGCCAGGTTCAATTATACTGCCTATAATCCCATATCAGTCCCATATTAAAAAAGTAAGCATTTGAGAAAATGGCAGTTGAAGTTAAGAAGTGCAATTTCCATGTAAATATTTAAGGGGTTACGCCTACCTGCAAGACCGAAAAAAAGCGAAAGTTTGGATTTTTTTTCTCGAAAACGACGCAACGTATTAAAAATCAGTTTTCTGCCGTTTATTGAACACACATTAAATGGTACATTTATCAGTCGATGCTGTAAAAACGAGGTCCTGGTGCCCCGCACGGCTGCTCCCCGTGGACGATGTTCTAAAAAACGCCTTTTGCGGTGCCAACTGCGGTTTGTGATGTAATCATCTGAAATAAAAAAAAAAACATGCCAAATCGTTAAGCATCTTTAAACATGGCATGCATGTTAAGCATGTTTTTTGACAAAATGGCGGCTTTGCAAAGTTGAAGTGCCGATTTTTGATCCTTAAAATTTGTCTTTGATCGGCTGTAAAAAATCGAAATTAAATGATAGACGAAATCGGAACGATCGTGGACTGCACAAAATAGTACTGAACAGAAATCAAAACGAATCGGACGAATCGAATGTATACATTTCGAGAAATTTTTGGCACCGGTTTTGAAAATATGATTCCGAGATAATCGCGTTTAAAGTTTCAAGTTGGGTTTAGTCCACTATAAGTGAATATTTTTGTACGTCGCATAACTTTCACAATTTTCATCGGATCAACTTGATCTTTTGAGGAAATATTCTTGACTTTATATAGGGTATACGTCCCTAACCTCGGTCTAATATGCAGCCATAGATTACGTTTTTAATCATAACTCATCAATTAATTTACCTGCAAACGATATTCTACTGCTAAATGGTATGCTTAGATATGCTTATCATGTCGTTTGCTATCAGGAACCGCAAAAAGTTGAAAAACTTACTTTTTTTAAGACAAAAACTCACCAGGGAAATGTATGTAATATCGGTCTATTGTCCCCAAATTGGGTCTATTTATGGATGCAACTTCGTCCTATCCTGTTTGATTCTCAAAAAAAACGCTCTTGGTAACGTTTTCTTATGTATTTTTTTTTATCACTATCACTGTTAACTTAATACTCTTCATTCCTCAAAACATTTCTTAGAGAAAATTTTACGAAAACTACATTAAATCACTCAAGTTAAAAATTAAAAATTAAAAATTTCGCTTATCGTCTTTCGACCGCAGAATATCTAAATCAAAACATTGTGATGTTCATTATACAGATTTGGCAGAAAAAATCTCCCTTCCTGTTCGTTCCTTATCATCCAAATGCAAACCACATTGTTGACGTTACTCTTATTGCTATATGCTGTCAAATGAATTTCATGGGCCAAAGTTAGGAACATAGAAAAGAAATGTGTCCCTAAAGTTGGGTCCATGATTTACTTGTGAAAACGTTGTTAAACAATTAAAATAAACATAAAATATTCAAACAGTAACTGTGAGTTTTACGTCTAGTGTGTATTATCAGGTAATTCCATTCAATAAATGCCATAATCAGGCCATTTGATGATCGTCAGTGCAACCTTCCCATCTTAACCTTAGAAGTCATGGCGGCTAAAAACTCCGAACAGAGTGATATTCTCAACCAGTTTTATTACTTACGAGAGCTGAAAATGTATTGAAATGTTGTGATATAAATTGATTTGTGTGTGGTACACATTTATCAACCATCAGTGATCAATATTTTCCTTATTTTTTGTGTAATATTCCTTAATTAATTATTTATTTGCGTGATAGGCCGAATGAAAGGACTAGACCCACATTACATACCGTAACCCTACTTTCGATTAGGACAATAAAAAAATAGATTTTTTGAAAGTTTGCAGGTAGGCGTAACCCCTTAAAAAATCATTGTAAATTAATCGATAATTTTATCAAGTTATAATCAGTAGCAGTAGCCTTGCATGGTTTGTTATATCAGCGAAAACAATGGCGATTCAAAAAGCAGAACTGTACTTAACCTCTGGACGATTTAATTTCAGGATGGGACTGATATGCGATTACATTGCTCGATGGGAAAAACTGACTTGATGTTGTTTTCACATTTTTCATTATTAAAGTCCGTAGTTTTATCACGTAATATGAATGTAGATGCCAATTGATAGTGGATAGCGTTATTATCTTAAAATTTACGAAAATCCATATGTGACTGATATGCGATTATAAGTAGTATAGTCACTATATTCATAGTCTGGAGGATGGAATTTCGATTTTTTCAAAAGCGGAACCAATTCAATATATTGTAGACCAACAATTGAAAAGGTACTATCAACTTTTTTAAACAAAATGTTGTTTATTCTTTCCTCGCCAATCGAACCCAAATAACCGGCATCATCGGATAGGGGAAACTTTCCCCAACCCAAAGATGGTATTAATTTGCGTAGGAGAGTCTTGAGTCACGAGAAAAGAGGTTTCGAAGTTTTGTTCACAATAACTGATATGCTCTTTTCTGTTTTTGGTAGTGATTTGCTCGATTGGTTCCGCTATTTGACAGCTCAATTGGTTCCCGAGATTCTATCCGACAGAGTATGAATATAGCGACTATAGTTTCAATGATTTTGGGATTTTTAACCTGGCCATGTAAAGACATTCCCAGGTATTTTCAGCGCACAGATCGATAAAAGAAACTTTTATCTAACATCTAATACGACAAACACAACAAGAAACGGTTATGTGCTCAAGTTATTAACGAAAGAGAAAGTCGACGAAAAGAACCGAGACTCAATAATAAAAAGCTTCCTAAGCCCCAAAAAAGGCGAGGAATCCTGTTTGGGTACGAATTATTTTTTGTATTGAGTATGCTTTAAAGGAGAGACTTTGGGTGTGAATATAAATGCATAAATAAGAGTACCGGCAATGTCCCTCCCCTTGGCTAGTTTTTTAACCTGGACGTTGGTGGGCGGGTCTAATCTTATGCTTCATAGTGCAGCGTTGGAGACGGTTAGTTTAGGTCCAGCATCGTTGGCTCATGCCGTGACAGAATAGCGTCATGAGCATGCGATGAGGATTACTGAGCTTCCCCTCTCTGATGAACCATTGCATAAGAGAACCAAAGTTCTAGCCTGAAGTGATAGTATCACACTTGTTACTCCTTTATTTGAAAGCCGCGTTGTAGTACGCTTACGTATAGGCACTGACGTTGGGTGTGATACTGGCGGGTTTTGCCGCAAATCACTCTTATTTTATTTATTTTTACGCAGATAGATTTATTTGGGTTTGCAAGGGAATTATACTATTGAAATATTTCGGAAAGTGCCCAAATGTGCTCCTTCTACTTGCGTGACAAGCTTTCGTTGTTGTTGAGGCATTACTCAGGGAACAATGTTAAACACCATTTTTGTACATGGTATTGCAACTAATCTTATATGTGCTTCATTTGAGTGTTTGAACTATGGCTCGGGATTTCCACTGTGGTGTGCTTCTATTGTGACATAACCATACGTATTGTTGTGGTGCGACATAGTGGAAACGTGTGAGCGTAGTTGAAGCGTATACCCTATGTAATTTAAAAATCAGCTAGGAAAATAACTTCAAAGTGAAGCATTTTAGTCACTTGAAGGTGTCACCTGGGACGAACTAATATATATTAAATATTGGTCAAAGTCAAAAACAACTTGAAACGCGTTAAATTTTAGATTACATTCACAAGTGCAGGTACTTAATAAAGCATGGTAGGTAGATTAGAGATTTCAATTATTTATTAAATTAGATATGATATATGATATCCCTACATAATCATCAAACGAACTTAAATAAGAAAATTTACACAGCCTAGTAGCATTAAGTGGATTAACAGAAGAGTTAGGATGCGGAGGGTCCGCTTAGGGAGGCAACTAGCCTTTAAAGCAACTGGCAACTAGCCTTTTCATGTATTGTCTGTTTATTTTGATTATTGCTTTAAAATATCAATTTGGTATATATGTGAAAGGATGAATCAGTGGGAGATCGATTTTCGGTTTCTTTATATTTAGCATCACTATGTTTCATTTCCTCAAAACCCCCAATAACCGGCCTCTTCAATCCCTTCCTTTTCCCATGGCGTTCAAGTGGTCCGCATAGACTATTCAGCCATTACCCGTCCTTTATCCTCGGCTTTGGATTGACTTGCGCTCTCATTGCCCCACCAAACGCTGCAAAATGAAAATGAAAATAAATAAGAGTACCGGCAATGTTTTCAGTTAAAGGTACTCTATTTTGTAATCTGTGAAAGGGAAATCACACATCGTATGTCATCAAAATATACATGGAATGTTGCGAGATTGAGCTCGTGAGAGAGAGAATCGTGTGAGAGACAAAGTAGCTTACTGTC